GCCGTCGGCCGCCTCGCCGCCAGCATCTCGCCGCCAGCATCTCGCCGTCGGCCGCCTCGCCGTCGGCCGCCTCGCCGCCAGCATCTCGCCGTCGGCCGCCTCGCCGTCGGCCGCCTCACCGTCGGCCGCCTCACCGTCGGCCGCCTCGCCGTCGGCCGCTTTGCTGTCGGCCGCCTCGTCGTCGGCATCTCGCCGTCAGCTTTCAGCGTTTCCACGTCACGGTTTGTCATACCTCCGGTGAGTCACGCGCTAGTTAAACGCATCCCTTGTCTGTTCTGTGCATTTCCTTGTTGGCGTTGCCTTATGTACGTCATTGTACAATTTTGCAGGGCGTTACGTCTTGTTCGTTAGTTGGTTGTAAAGCGCTGTTGTCTGTTGTGGTTTTTCAAGGTTGTGCCGCATGCAACGTGCTTGTGCAGTCTTATTTTGTTTGCATCATAAAGCAGATCATGGCCGGGCAGCAGATCAGCAGCTGATAGGCAAAACAGCAGATCAGCAAACATCTAGGAAAGACAGCAAACTAGACCAGCTTACCGGATTTTAGCAGCACGTGTGCCGTGGTGTGGTGTATTGTGCTGCATGACAATGTAACTATTTTGTAAGTGTCAATTTGTAAAATTATGTGCTGCATAATTTATATTTGCATCCTGAATCAATTAATAATATTTTCTCATGAATATTTCCTTGAAGCATTTATATCTAAATGTTTTGTCAAGTAAATGTATTGTTTATTATTGATTGTTTTTACGTAATATATATTAAACTAAATTTGTGTTTAACGTGTTGTCGTTACGTGATGCTCCCGACGTCGGCGTGTCGTCCCCAGCGGGATCATTGTAGGGCGCTTTGTTGGGGCTGTGCCGGGCAACATGAGAATCGTAGCACATCAGGGCGTAACCTTTCGATGCACTCACCTCGCTGAACGCATCTAATTCCCGTTCTGCTCCTTGCTGCTACACAACTTGCCTGCCCACATGCACCACATGCACAACTTGCCGTGGCCATCGCTGTCGTTTTCTCGCCGACGGCGAGGTCGCCAGCGCCCTCTCGCCGTCGCCTTATCGCCGTCGGCGCCTTGCCGACGGCGCCTTGCCGTCGGCGCCTTGCCGTCGGCCGCCTTGCTGTCGGCGTCTCGCCGTCGGCGTCTCGCCGTCAGCGTCTCGCCGTCAGCGTCTCGCCGTCGGCGCCTTGCCGTCGGCGCCTTGCCGTCGGCGTCTTGCCGTCGGCGTCTCGCCGTCGGCGCCTTGCCGTCGGCGCCTTGCCGTCGGCGTCTTGCCGAAGGCGCTTTGCCGTCGGCGCCTCGAGCGTGTAGGGAGTACGGCATGAAGGTCTTTCCCCGTATGTTCACTGCGTGGATGCCACTTTGTGTCCGTTCGTGATGTAGTGATGTCGTACATACGTTCGGAGCAAAGCTTCTTGCTGTGGGTGTTTCGTGGCGCGGTGTTTTCCCCTGTTGTGCCGGCAAGCAGCAACAGCAGCAGCGACAGCAAAAGCAC